CCCTCTTGCAGCTTGGCCCCCGAAGCCCTTCGATCATTCCCGCTCCTCCTTCCTCGCCTACGTTGCACCCCCCCCCTTTTTGTACTCTTTTGACCGTAGTGGTAGTACGTTACTGTGATACATGTTTGCCTTGCGGTTTGTTCAATTTTATTACCGATATTTTATCGAGTGAATGAATGTCTATGAAAATGTGTCTCACAAGACTGGGTATATGCAAGTTCTAAGCCACAAAAGATACAGTCGAGATACACGTATTATCCTGTGATGTAGGAATGGAACAAACTATGAAGCCTTTTTTCTGCCAATGGTGTTAAATAAAAAGGATGCTTTTATCTACCTGTTTCTTGAATTTTGTTAACATCTAGCAGTCCGATCTCACGCTCTTTGATTCCCAGTTATCCAACATCGATCAGTCCATAGCTCTCGGTTCCATCGTTTTCATTCGACGAATCAAACCTCGGAGCCTATCGACTCACACCACGTATTCGGCGAAGCATATGAATTTCTAAAAAAACCAATACATCCCACGGATACCCCCTTCCTCGGATCCCGAAAATCAAGCCAAAGTTTGGTAATCCAACACCCCATGATCCCTCATCTGAAAGTCAGTCAATAGAAACACCGAGAAACAAAACACACATCTCCGAAAGCCAACTTCCATCCCAGAAAATATCGTCTTACATCGAGCGACCTTCCTCCCCCCCTGCCCCTACTTTCCAACCATCCGAAGTTGCGTGTAAAAATCCTCGGCTCTCATAAATAACGTCCCCCTTCCCTTTTTTGTCCCCTCTTCCCACCGAAATCCACGCACAGATAATGGCAGGAGGATACGGCCACCCTTTGGTCCCTCTCCTGCGAGCCCCCGAAATAAAAGGCCTCTCGCGCATCAGCGAGTCCCTCGCGGCGATCCGGGGATTTCGGCCGCGCCACCGCTTGCAGACACGTACAAGGGAGGGAAGGGCCTTTCGGGCATCGAGGCTGCTCGAGTCGGGAGATATGCGAAATGATAATCGCGTCCGAAAGGGAGCGCGAAACGCCGGGACGTAGAATAAGCGAGGAGGCAGGGGAGGGGGTGTGGGTGTGCGGCTGTGTTAGAGAGACGGTACGGCCAATCGGAGGGCGAACCTCCCGGGGGACGAGGCGCCGTTGCTATGGCTTCGCGCGTCTTTCTCTCTCTCTTCTCTACACCGTCGGCGTGCTCGTGCGCGCTCTCGAAAACTTGTACCACATTCTGCCTACTATGCACTGTTGTACGCATAACGCACTGGTGGTTTTTCTACAATAATATTTTTATTTTTCCACAGCATCCCACGCACTTTATCGTGAAAAAAGAGTAGCATCTCCCATCTTTGGATGTTTATTGTGAGATGGTTCGGACGAGGCTAATGATTTTTATTTGGTTTTCTTCGTTTGGAAAGGTTTTGGTGAGGTTTCATTCCAACGTAACGAGTTGATTTCGAGTTTGAAGAAAAGGATATGAGAGATACAAAAATCTCGTTGGAGCATCTATATCTGGTATAACGAGAGCACAATCGTGGCAAAGTGTTCGCCAAGTTTTTGCCGCCTCTTTTCCTTCTTTGAAAGAAATATCGGAGACAGACACAAACGGATATCGGGTTGTCACCATTTCCTTTCTTTTTCCAGAGCTCTTATCTCATTTTTCATGGCGAGAAGAAACCAAAGAGCACGCTCGGCTGCCGATGACATAATGACGGAGCCCAGCCGTGCGTCGCTCACCTCGTGCACGTATATATATATATATATATATAACAGCTCATCGGACGTTTCACGCGCTCTGCATACATGTACAGAGAGATATGCGTACGTGTGTGCACAGAGAACACCGGGTGCTATACTCTGTATGTTATGTAGGTACTGTGTGTACGCTCTGGCGCACCATGCCTTGACGCCCACGTGCACACACGGTTAATGGCCGTACATAATTTTGCTCGCCGTTTGACATGCCTGGCGTACATACGTGATTTTTTATATCGTTCCGCCATTGCATTGGGTGCAAATTTTTTTTAAGAATTGGTGGCGATGGTTTTCCCAGTGCTAGAACTTTTGGTGACTCGGAGGATTGATGTGGTTCTTTGACGAATCGTCAGTGGCAATGTATTGGATTTAAAGATGACGTTTCTTACTAAATATTTGTAGAAGCCAAGGTATACGGTTTTTACACGTCATTCAACACTGTGATAAAACGTAGCAATCAATCACAAATTAACGTATTTTTTGTCGTTTAGCAATCAGTCATCGTCATGGCTGTCGTATACTTCTGAAACTCCTATAAAGGATTGGAATAACTCACTTGGATTATTTTTTATCCAGCAAAATTACGAGCAATCATTGTAAAAACTTTTTATTTTTCCATTGAAAAAAATCATGAGGCCAGCCGATCGAAAACAATAGCTCAAATCCCATCCCGTGGAGGATGACTCTCCGAGTCGATGGACATTCAAGAAACTACAGCGACTCTCTCGGTTTCTCCTCCATTTCATCTCCATGCGATTCTACAGCTCCTTGGTCTCTCGTGCGACCAAACGCCAAGGAGGTCCACACAGCAGAGGGCCACACACCTCCCACGGTCGCCAAGCACACCCATACACACATACCCACCCTCAATCCCTCCCTCCGTCTCTCGGAGCACTGCCGCCAGTTTCCTGCACTTAGCAAGATCAATACCAGCCAACGAGGCTTGAAAACATGCGTCAACATGGCCTTGCACTGTTTGTACGTCCACATAACGCTGTGCTCGCCGAACTTTCTCTCCCTCCTGGCCCCTCTTTCGCGGTCCTGCCCCTGTACAAACCACCCCTACGCCCACTACTCTCCACTAGATTCGCGTGTTGCTGCGCGGCGTACGTGTTTATTGACCAGCGGCTGTATCCATCCCACGTATGGGGAACAAGGGCCTTCCACGCGGACAATGTTCGACAATACCTGATCCATACGGTACTCCTTTGCCAGCGCCTCTGTATATTAATTAAAATGATATACAGCCGAGCGCGGTCAGCGTAGCTGTGTGCAAACACGGCGCGCTGAACTGCATCCGTGGCTTCGGTGGGTGCATGTGTATTTGAGACGTGACGGGGAAACTGTAGGCACGGTTTTGTTTGTTGATCAGTCTTGTTTTTCTTTTTTTTTTTCTGGCTAGAGATACACGTATCTATTGGTTCTCGTTGTTGTTACAGACGCGCGGCGCGTAGGTGCGTCGGTGCAAGGTAGCGGAAATTTTCATCGCCCGTGTCGGTTATTGTCGTGTAGACTTTAGCTGCTATGTTTTCGTTTTTTGCGTTGTATCGGTGAATTTTTTTTTGTGGGACAGTATTTACAGGGATTCCGAGTTTTTGGACTTGGTTTTGCATATGCATCACCCAGCGAGGGAAACTTTTTCTTTAACTACGTTAGCTGAAAAATATTGGATATTGGCACAGAAATAGAGTTTGAATACATTTTTATTATAAACTTATTTATATTATGAAATAAATTTTTTTATTAGGTTATAATTATATGAACTCGAGTTACATTTTAATTTGAATACTTATTTTCATTTTATGGTTTATAAATCGATACTTTACCGATAATAATTCAATTTATAACACAAAACTGCCAATTGAGTACGGCTTGTTTTCACGTATTTACAATTTTTTTTATCTCATCAGTTAATTTTGATCCACAGACAATGACAATTAATCAAATCATCTTTAATAAATGAAAGTTTTATGTCCGAATTCGTGACATCGACATTTCAACATTTTCTACTTACTTTCCTTCAATGTACGTGCTTAAGCAAATTATATTGCAAGTAAGGGGAGTATATTACTATAATGACAATATAAAAAAATTATTCTGCGACCAAAGCATGAAACGTTAGATATAACATCGGTTTAAGGCAATGTCTGACCGAACATTGACTCGTACTACTGAAAATCGTTTTTTCGCTAAATGGCTAGGAAAATTCACTTAAAATAATTTGAAAACAATAGTCAAGTAATTTTTTAATAAAAAGGTAACTTTAACGCACACTTGAAATGTAAAATAGTTTTATTTTTGTAGACAACTAGGTTAAAGTGATCAAATTAGTTTCAAAAGCTGACCAGTCATCGAAAAACACCTGGAATAAAGTTAGTGCGACCCATACTTTCACTCTCAAAGGAACATACAAACAAACAAACAAACAAGCAAATAGTCGAACAAACAAGCCCGAGTAATGCAGCGTAAAAGCCAAATAACGAAAAAAATCAATCTGCCCGCCGTACACGGAGTCGACTCATAAAAAATTAATGGAGACACGCGGTGGATAAGGCGCGCATCGTCGAGCCAGAAAACTTTTCTCTCTGCGCTTGCTACCTCGCGAGTAAGCTTCACCGCCTCTCCCTCCTCCCCTCCCCCTTTTTTCGCGCTCTATCACGCGTCAAATCGCCCCTACCGGTGCACCGCGCTCAAGTGTAACTTTGCCGAGCTTGCGGGAGAATCCATCCCGTGGTGACGACCCTTAAGAGCTCGAAGTCGTACTACTAATGAAAAGAGCTTTTGATTTCATGTGTTTATAGAATGTCTGTTTCAGTACGAGAGGAGGGTTGGGAGATCCCCTCGGGTATTATAACTTTTGCCGTCACTGCAAGGGTGGCTAGTTCATTTATTTTTTTTTTTTAATTTCCAACTTGTCTGTTTTGGCAGCCCTTTCACTTGCCATTGATCAGTGTGTGGACCATAAAATAGTATACCCATTGCATATATCTGGATAATTTTATCCAATTAATAAATGAATTAACCCCACCATATCCAATAAAACACTTTAAATGAATTCTATCATTTTAGGTTGTTCAATTTCTACCAGTCAAAGATAGACGCATTATGTGTTATGAAGTAAAAGCCTACGATTTGTTGGAAAAAAAAGAGACGCGCTCGTGATACTAAAAAAAAAAATGAAAAAAAAGAGAGAGAAAGACGAAGTATCTACTGTTCGCACACTCACTCTGCACATTCACACTCACCTGGATACGTGCCTCAGGCAATCCAATCTTCTCGGCGAGGCGCTCCCTGGCAAACACGTCCGGGTAATGCGTCCGCTCGAATTCTGCAAAACGAACAACAGAGAAAGAGAGTCACAGATGAGCCACGCCGTCTCTTTATTACACATGTACGTACAGTACACGCTGGCAACAAGTGCCCCTTCCCTCCCCACATAATATTATACACCCTCATCCCAGCGCCGTACGCCCAATGCTTCTCAGTCCACGGGTGGTGTTCTGCGCACACATTGTACATGCGCGTGTGGAGAGTTGGCTGGATGGCGTTTTCCCCGGGACGGATAATTGGAGAGGAAAAACGCCCGCACGCGCTCGTGCTCGGGGCTCCGCTAATTTATGTACCCGCTCTCTGTTGCGCTTTTAATTCGGCTCGCGGACTGGATGGCGTGTACAGCTGGCACGAGCGTACGGCGGAGGATGGCTTTTTTCATTTTTTTTTTTTTGCGCATAAAGCCAAAACGAGCACGTGATCCTTTTATCATTTCTTTCTTTTTTTATTTCATAACTCTTTGGATCCTTAATTGGATGTCAAATTAGAGGTATGGAGAACAACGTAAAGTTTGTGCTTTTCGTCTGGCAACCCCGAGGAGTAACGGTAGGCGATAACTGCTCACCTTTCTCGAGACTGTCGATCTGTTCGTTCGAAAAGGACGTCCGGTTGCGCTGAAGTTTCCGTTTCAGCCTCAGTCGGACTTGCGAATCCTCGTCGCCGGACGAGTTGTGTTCCGAGTTGCCGTCCGACGTTGTTTCCTGATTGTGAGACAGCAGCGATCCGGTATCTGTGGGACAAACAAAGAGACCAAAACTTATTTTCAAAGCAAAAATTAGCCTGTTACGTGCAAAGCACAGCTCGCAATCTGTTCCCTCTATACACATTCAGAGACAGGTCGTCGAGAAAGGGACTGTTTGTCACATTCAGCCACGAATGAGCGTCAAAGGCTATTTTGGCCTTTCAGAGGAGTTCCGAGGTGGAAGCGAAGCAGGCATTTTTTTTTTCCCCATACATGAAAAAATAAGAAACTTGGACGGTGGCTCATTTTTGCAGCCCACCCGAGGTTCTGATCGATTTTTCGGTGTTCCCCCTGCGGACTCGTTGTCGTCTATTTTCAAGAGAGCCGGTTTTTCAATCACGCTATGCAAATAGCTGGGGTTTTCTTTTGCCGTGCATCGCGTTGTTGTAAAAAAAGAAAAAAAAAAAAAAATATACATGCAAAGAAAAATGAGGTATGTAAAATTGATACGCCCGGGGACTTGGCGACTTGAAATTTCATTCCAACGAGTTTCAAAGGACTCCCGTGTTTTGTTTTGACAAATAGTCACCTCACGACTCCTTTTTTCAGTGCTTTTGTGTCGTTGGCGTCTTTTTGAGGGTTGGAGAGATTTTGACGTTCACGTATACCAGCCACCCCCATATAATACAACTTACCTGCTAATACAAGTGCGTGTAGCGAACAGGTTTTAATTATAGAAATTCCTAGTTTCAAGTCGGTTTACACACAAAAGGTGTAACAAAATCGTAAGCAGCAGCCTCTGGCGATATTGTTAAAACTCGCGTCCAGTCGGCTGTGGGTAGGTATGGGTTTTAGCGTAATAAAAATGGAAAACGAGCGAAAGAAGACTGTGTGGTAGGGGAAAGGGGGAGGATGCTGGAGCCACGATTACTTTCCGCCTCCACGCACCGAACCCTCGGCTCCGGCCCTCTTTCCGGCCGATCCCTCGTACACTCGCGCGCGACGACGTGTCCCTCCATTTCTCCGTCCGTCAGCTGCTCTCGGAGCTCCTCTTCTCGCTCGATCGGACGCCCTGAGCCCCCAGTGCTCTATCTCTTTCCCACCCCCTACCACCGACCCTCTTTTTTTCTACCCATATCTATCCAGAGCCGCACGGCTATCGCTTTTTTCCTTTTCTTTCTCTCCTCTGTCCTTTTTCCACTGTTTCCAGCTGTGTATGAGATCTCTTGTGTTTTTTTGTTCTCTTGTCCATTCTCCCTCCTTTTTTTGTTCTCTTTTTCAAGAGCAGCGCGGAAAGTTTAAAGGTATTTGCGTGCTCTTCTCGAGATCCTCTCCCTCATAACTTTTCAGGGCGATACGCGTGCTTCGGAGGAATAACGTCAAGTTTTTCGTTCGACAAATACGTGGATAGTTATTTTGTTTTTAATATTCGATGAATTCCAATACTTTGGGTTTTTAAAAATGGAAAAAAAAGGATACAGAACGCAAAAGTGTTTAACAATGGATCCCGTACAAGTCAGCGCAAGCCTCGGAGCTCCACATCAAATCCACCATCGCGGCGTCCCAACTTGTCCGTAGAAGCCGCCTCCCACCCACAGCAGCTCCCCCATCGGCAACACTCTCCCTCTCGTTTTCCCCCTCGAGAGCTTCCCAAACTCGAAATATCTACCACTGCTGCTCCCCTGACGCACACGCGTGCCTGTAACGACTCCGTCCAAACGGAGGAATGCCCCCGTATCCATCGGTGCTAAGGAATCCCAAGTGCGCCTGTCTGCCCGTTCCTGCGTGATTTTCGGGGTTACCAGGACGACGCGTCTTCGAGTGCGGATGATCATCGGCTTTTGATTTTCAGCCAAGGTCCCCATCTTTTTCTTGACGCCGTGGTGAGCTCGGAATTTGCAATCCTGAACTCACATCGGGAACTCTCCTCGTGGGATACTCGGTTTCGTCGTGGAGCAACATTAAGCAATATGCATTAGAGACAAGTTGGAAACACATTTGTCAGCCATTTGTATCATACACGTTAGAATTGCATACCAATCACAATTTCTTACGAGACTGATGGTCGCTCAGTACCATATTGTTAAAAAAAAACCATCTTCTTTCTGTCAAAATCTGCAGTTTTCTTTAATTTCACATCAGGTTCATCTCTAATGTTTAGAACCAAAGAAGAACACATTAAACAATGCCAACCTGGTAGCTACTACTTCATTGGATTTAGATAAACTAACGCATGGAAATAGAGGTCCACACAGCGTTTCTTCGAGTCCTTGGCCGAGAGAGGCGAGGACGCGCCAAAAGGTTCGCGAGCAAGTGGGTGGATCGGTTGCGCGTTCATCCCCGGTAATCCACCCAATTGTTGCGTAATCCAAAGGCTTTGTCGCAGAAACTTTGGCCCCTTCGCCAACTCGTTCGCAGCTGTCCTCCATCCCTGGGTCCCGCCACGCTGGCCCCGACTCGCGAAAACTCGTTTTTAATATTGCCCCGACCAAAGATACCTCCAGCCTCTCACGAGTTTCGTTGTCGCGGGTCTCTCGAACGTAAGTGCAATACGCTCGCTCGAACGCTTTTTGAAAGAGAGCTTGTACACGAAAACAGAGAAAAAAAAAAAAAAAAAAAAAAAGTATGAGAAGAAGAGGAGGGCCTTGGTAATCCGTCCATTGAAAGGTCGCCGCATCTGGAATCGTCATCTGCGCCGGCAACGGTGGGGCCACTCTGATGCCCCTACATGTAGACACGTACACCGCGCGCAATCTGTGCCGCAATCTGAGCCGCTCGGCTGATTTCGGTGATCCTATTAGTCGAAGGCGATTTGACGGGCTGCGGCTCTTCTGCCTTTCTGCTCTCTCTCGTCGTGCAGGTATCTCTTCCCTCCCGCCGCCCCCACCCGTCTTTTTGTGCACACATACATATGGGCACAGCGAGGGAGCGAACATGTGCCCTGAACTTAAGCCTCTCTCTCGGCGATGCTCGAGCGAGATGGCACTTTGACGAACTTGGAGGAGAGATGCGCAACCGCGGCACGCACCGGTGTTACACGCGCCCAGCTTACAATAATACGCAAGAGCTTATTATCCCTTGGTGGGGGGGTAAGGGGGTGTCTGCTTGTCGTTTTCGTACGGTTGAAGCTTCGCGGCTGGCTTTGTACTTTATGGGCGACCTCTGAGGTGCGCGGGACGTTTTTATCCCGTGGTTTGACTTTAGTTCACGGAGAATCCTACCGATCGAAGCTGTGCGCGTATGTGTTTTGCTGCGCTAGCCATCCGATACCCGTATGATCTTTCGAGTTTCGGGTGCACGCGGAGATTATAAAGCTGTGATCCCCACCCGAAGCCTACCTATACCTATAGCTTGGATCGCGTATCATTGCGTTGCTCGCTAATAAAAACAAGAGAGGGGAAAGGCCCACCTGTGCGCTTGAGCAGGGAGTCGTCGCGTGGGTGTAGCTGTCCGCCGACGGGCAGGAGCGACTGTCCCGTGCCTGGTGCCGTGGTACCGGGTAAGGCGGTGCCGAGGGAGTGGTGCGTTGGCGCGGTGGTCGAGTACCAGGCGTGGGGCCAGCCGGCCTGGCCATTGAACATGCGCAGCTTATCGTAGACGGACTCGGTGCCCTGGTGCACATGCACGGCCGCCGCCTGCTGCTCCTTCTGCGAGGCCAAGTTTCGCAGTACCCTGTTTATCGACGAGACCTGCAATCAGAACGGATTGTTTATACGTACAATGTATGGGCATGCTTCATCCCGAAATTTATGTGTATGTACACTGAAAGTGTAGTTTTCTGTGTGATGCATTGCAGCAGTGTTGATGAACATTTCAAGATCAACCAAATCAATGTTTCACCTGATTATTGAATTAAACAATTTGGTTTTCCTAACGATCGATACAAGATGGCTGTACGATAATGTAATATTAATGAATCTGTGACTGCCAATTTTTTAATATTTCATTTTTAAGTACTATACAAGAAAATGTTTTCGTTGTAAAAATGTATCATTTTATTTCAAGAATTTATTCACTCGTAACTAGTTTGGTCAATATTTTCGTGAACGAAGAAATTTTGTACGTTAATTTTTCATATCAGTAGACAACTATTTCAATAGTTGGTGCACCTATTCATTTGGGGATTCGTAATATTCTCATTAACACCACCGAAATGCATTTTTTTTTTAACTTGTACTTACATTTAGAATTAATAGTGAATTTAAAGTTTGGAGGATACACTTTGAGAGATTTTCTGTATACAGAGATGGGGATGGGAGGGAGGCTGTTTTCTGTCCCGGATTTGGTTGTTTTTATTCTTCTTCTTAAGCGTTAAAAGTACTCAGATGCACACCAAAAACCAGCCCTTACTCGAGAAGTCTATTGAAATTAAATCACCGGCTCCCACCCCTTCGGGTTTTCGCAGCTTGAACAGTTTCCACCATCCTTTCCAAGAAGCTTTGTTCCCCTCCCCCCCTCCTTGCACCCCGCACACATTTTACGTCGCACTCCTCTCCCCTTGGAAAGCTCATTTCTGGATTTTCACCCACCAAACTCTGACCTTTCGCAATTTTCCCGGTTGAAGAACTGATTACCCCGAACACTGGGATCCTGTTCGGTGCAAGCGCGCACTGAAACCCTAATTGACACGGTCAATGCTCCCGACAAACACGACAAAGTTCAGTCAACTCCATCCGTACACGCGAAACTCCGCTGGATCCTCGTTTACCTTGAAAAGAAAAACATCCGCACTTACCTACCGCGCACAAACATACGTATATACACGCCGGTTCGCCGCAAGTGAGCATCGCCTCGCGCTTCGTTGTCATCCCCCAACGGAATATTAAGAAAAGCACGCCAGGCATGGAGAGGGAGGAAGAGTAATTAAAAAGTTGTACGCGACGACAAAGCTTGCGAGCGGTGTGGTATATTAAGCGGCCGCTAGCTCGTTATAACTTTTCAACGCAACGGTGCTAACGGTGTATTGTGATGGGTACGACTCTTCACCCCCCCCCTCTACCCCCTCGGCTACTTGCACGAGTTCTTGGGCAAAGATGCGACAAAGAAGGGAGGAAAAAACGCGTTTCACGCATCATACAATCATCGTAATTGGATGTTAAGAGAGGGGAGTCTTTTGTTCGGAGTACAGTGAGGTTTACACGTTTGAGCCATAAATCAGGTGCCATCGGATGATTTGCCGAAGGAAAATACAGTATACATGGACATACTCGATGGTGGTTGTGGGATTTTCGTCCAAACAAAGATGGTCCAACGATATCCACGAACGAAGCCACTTGGAAACTATCGTGCGTGTATATGTATGGAAAAAAAGAAAAGCCAAATAAAAGAATGGATGGACGAAAAAAAAAAATTCCCAACAGCACCGCAAAACCAAAAATCGCCGGACGAAAATTGTCAGCTCCTCTCGATCGCCCCGCTCAGCGAGCACGTCGGCACTTGATGCTCCTCGTTCTGTATTATACTAGCGTATCGCGCACAATGGATGAATGGAAAAAAAAGGAAAAAAAACGTAAAAAGAGAAAAGAACCACGCGTACGAAAATACGCAGCCACCAAGTCCCCCCACCCCCCTTTTTTCCACATACATGTGCACCCCAATGCCCATCAAACGCAGAGCCTCCATACAGTGCACACACGCGTGTACACGCGGACCCGGTCGAGCATCAACTCTGCATCAGCTCTGTACGTATACCTACAAGCATCGGAAGAGTACACAGTACAGTGGCTCGTCGTCGTGGAGAGAGATAGAGAGCACGTGAGCGTAGCCACAGCAGCAGGGCCGATGCAGGCCATTACACGCGCGACCGGACACGAATAATTGCGCGTGGCACGCTTAACTGATCCCATTCAGCCTAATTCTGCTCGCTGCTGCTGCGACCAGTCAACCTCACCCTCCCGTATATAGTATATATATATATATATATATAGGTACCACTGCAACCAGCAACGCCACTATTCTTCGTTGTATACCGTCAGTCTGCTACGTAGCCGATGCTGTACAGTTCACCCCCGAGAGAGAGAGAGAGAGAGAGAGAGAGAGAGAGAGAGAGAGAGAGAGAGAGAACTGACTGGGTGCGCGTATGAAGGTACATACGAGGTGTGCACCTATCGTTGTAGCCCGCAACAACGACGAGGAGTTGTGGCCTCCGCGTGTGCTGACGCTGACGCGCGTTACGCCTCGGGAGGGGTTTTTGGACGCGACGAGATGGATAATACGTATGGAGGGGATCTGCACTTTTCGAGAGGATATGCAGTGGGAAAAATCGAAGGAGAGCCCGAGCAGGATCTAGATATGTTCACGCCCAGGCTTGGTGCCGTTCTAGGATGAGCGATGGACTCCTTTTTTGAGGTAGAACCGATACTTATCATCGGACGAACCATATTTATTTTCATCGTTTAAACTCTTAAAGATTTTCTTGCTGTCGCACATTTTACGATATTTAACAGGACATGATAAAAAGGGGCATTGAGAGCCAGCAAGCCCGAACGCTTCGAAATTGTCTTTGAGATTATTTAGTTTTGCACGTGGGTGTGGGCTCAAAATGAATGTTTTCCCGTTCGATACGAGCGCAAACTTGAACGTACGAGCGATGAGAAGAATCTTAGTTGACCTCGTTGTCCATTGGGATGCCCATGGGTTCCCCGAACCATCCACACACCCAAGAATGCCATTAGCACACCCTCGCCTTACCAGCTACAAATGAAAAAAAAAAAAAAAAAAAAAAAAAAAAAAAAAAAAAAAAAAAAAAAAAAAAAAANAAAAAAAAAAAAAAAAGTACACGAGAGAACAGAACGTACAAATTCGTGCACTAGTAGCGGCAAAAAGCGAAACAGAAAAGGGAAAGAAAGAACGGAGCGGTACAGCTCGTACGGGGACGATGAGCCCTATATCCTTCTCACAGTCGATTTTCCAGAAGCCCGCACGTCAATAGGCTGATTGATCAAGGCGCACTCCTCGATTCGTTCCGTCGTACGTGTAGCAACTCACCCCCACCCCGCTCTTGGCCGCAAATTCATCTCCACCCCTGTGCCTTGTACCCATCAAAGACAACCTTGGAGGTCGCTCGGGGGAGAAAAGGGTCCCGAGTATACATACATATAGGTGATAGTACAGCGCGTGCCGTCGGACCGTAATGTACCAGACGCATCGGCCGGTAGTAAACACACACGTATACATATATCCATGTACGGGGCGAGGGCTCATACCGTATGCCGGGCGCGCGCGAGAAAAGGCGCACGATCCCCCCCTTTTCCGTGAATGCGCGCACGCACACCCCAAAACAAACGCCCTTTTCGCGCTCTGATCGGCATGGAATAGCCGCTCTCGGGGAGATTTGGGCCGACGCGCCGGAGCCGCATTAGCGGCACATCCCATTTGAGTTCTTTGAATTTTTTCGACTCGTACTCTTCTTTTTTGTTTCGCCTCGAGAACTGATTTCGGGTGGAATTTTTTTTCTTATTTTTCTATCATTGCTTTTGCTGTATGACCAAGGAAGGAATGAAAATCGATCACCCTCCTCCACGTGGGGTAATAAGACGTTGCCAAGAGGAGCCGATGAGGAATTGGCCGGCTGCTAACGGACGTGGGGCAAGAGGAGTCCTCGAGAAACGGCGACGATGGCGAAAAGTGGCCCTCGGAAGGGGAAAATAAAAAAAAAAGGAAACGGCCTCTCTCGCGTGGAGGAAGGGGACAGGGAGGAAAGTAGCCGGGCAGCTGAAAGGCCGAGAGAAAATAAGGGGGTGGAAGCGAGCGGCCGTTCGGGAAGGGACTCGCCTTTTTTCCGCACGTAGTCTGTTGGTACACAGTCCAAGGGGGGGGCAGGGTGGACGAGCGATGTGTGCCCAGTGGACAATGTCCCTTCCTCCCCCCCGAGTAATGGGCCGATTAGCCCGACCCCCGCGATCCTCGCATTGACGAGACTTTGATTGGGGTTGGGCTTGAGTGGCCGGATGTCGTCTGCCTGCGGAGCCGTGCATGCATGTGTGTGTGTGTATCGCTGCTACTGATAAGCTTCTCCTTCTTTCATCCTCCGCTGGATTGGATGCGCATAATGTTACGAGCAGTTTATCGACGAGCAGCGTTTGATTGAGAGCACGAGGCAGGGGAGAGGGAGAAGATATGCGGGGGTACAAGGGAACGAAGGTCTGGCTTTGACGTGGTATGGAGCACCGTGCAATGACAGAGGAGGGTCTCGAGGGCAGTCGATTAGTCAAACGCGCTTCGAGTGCACGCGCGCCCTTGTTTTTTCGCTCCTTTTGTCAATATCTGGGTCCTCGTTTCGACGAGTTTTTCCATGGGATTTCGATTTATCGTGTTATTAATTGCATGCGCTTCATGAAAGATGGGGAGAGAGGCCTATTATGCTCGTTATGAAACTTGTGAGTGTACACATTTATCGTTGACAAATGAGTATTAAACATGTGTTGGAGGGTCTACAAAACAACTACGAAAATAAGGCTGAGGACGGAAATAATAGAGTTTTTTTTGTTTATCGAGAACAGGACTGCGAAAAACAGTGGCGAAAAAGGGGGTGAAAATTTTAATGCGAGAATAAATGGGAATTACTTACGCTGGGTATGTTGTCGTTATTGCAAACGCCCTCCTGCAGCAACCGATCCCGGATTTCCCACGCAAAAATCGAGGGACACTCGCGCTTGTAATCCGCTATTTTATTGACAACCGGCGTCGTGGCTACGCGCGGCTTGCTTCCGCCGATCGCTCGGGGCTTTATCGAGCCAGTCTCGTAGTACCTGCAATGACAGGAAAAAAAATATATGTATCATACTGCTGCTTCCTTTGCTCTTGTTGTTACTGTTTTCATCATTTTCCACCGTACATTTACATGCAATGATTAATGTTTCGGAAAATTTCGTGATTTACGTGCACCCTCTGCCGAGCCGATTGAATTTATAGTGGTATCTACAATTTATTTTGTAATCAATACTTTGATTGGCAAGTTTGTTTTTGGCTCCTGCAAGGGGACACATCGGTTCCGTTAAATAAGTTTTGATGAAACATTCACATGCAAGTAAAATATAATTTCTTTCATTGCAGCGTATTGCAGGAAGATTATATCAAACAAAATCAACAATTCTGAATCCCTAGCTTTCTTTATTCGTGAAATAAACAAAAAATAATTTTTAAAAATACTAAACTATCTCAAGTAGGAAAGAGACAAACCAATCGACTCACCTGCCGAGGATCTTGGAGACGCAGCCGTTGCTGACTTGGAGTATCCGCGATATGTCGCACGGCCGGGCACCACTATGGGCCAACTCGACGATCTTCTGCCTCGTTGAGTCGGGCAGTGGCCTGCCATTGACGTAAACGCCACCGAGCTGATTGACGCCACTGTGTCCCGCGGCTGAGCAACCAAATATCGCATTCTGACTCACCATCGAGCCACCCCCGAGGCCCCCGGCGTGCATCAAATCTTCTTCTGAAAGCAATGGCAAAGCCCATGATCGACATGTTTTTCCACGAGATCCTTGTTGTCATCAAAAGATAGGTCTTTATCGAAATAATCATTGGTATACTTTTCAGGGTAGAGTTAACAGTGTTTACTAAATATGGATTAAGAGTTACGACGGTTAGAATAATCAGATACTGGTAACCATGATTGTTTTGCGACACATGAGCATAGCTATTGTATTGTATTTTTTTTAATGTAGTAGTAATAATAATAATAATAATAATAATAATAATAATAATAATAATAATACTAATGATAATAATGATAATAATAATAATGAATATAACAATAATCCTATTCAATAATGCTATTGTAACGATCGCAGTCAAGAGTTTGCAAAATCACTTCAAATTCTACCGATACGCGTACAGTCGCATACAGCGTATAATTTCTAGTTTGCAACAACTAATCCTATTATTCCTATTAATATTATTTTTAAATCCCTCCAAACAATCTGATAATCCATGGATTACCGAGTAAATATCAACTTTATTCGAGTGCACGTGTATTCATTATATTGATTCCACATGGACACAGTCGATGGCCGAGTGCTGTAATGAAAGCGGGCGAGCCGAGCGCAGTGCATTACAAACGCTGTACATGGAGATTCGCGTGCATAATGCATCGGAAGGATCGGAGAGGAGAAACGCGAACGAGCACGGGTCACTAATGAAAACCAAAATTCCAGCCAATGAACGAATTCGGTCGATAATCACCGAGGGAAAACCCCTCCCCGTTAGCCGCGTCGAGTGAACTCATGCCCGCGACGTTTGGTGCGACTAATTTAATGATTCGTGCATTATACATTAACGTATAGCCCCTCCGCGGATTTTCCAATAATTCACACAGCAACGGTGTTACGATGATTCGAAACGCGTTTGGTAAATTGCCGGCCCACGCACCGTCTTTTTTGCCCTCGGTACGGATGTTTTAAGTAGTACGAATCGAGTTTGGTCAGCCGTTTACGTTTCAACCCACCGATCCATAGCGACAAACAATGGACAATGCAGCAATAGGCGCTATTGGTCATGCCAACGAGTGATTCTATAATAACCCCACACCCACGGATTACTAAATACAGTATTTTAGCGTAAAGGCCTTGCTGCTCGATCCCGCGCACGCGTAACAAAACCTCGACAACAGCGGCCTGAGAGCGCTGCGGCGAAAAAAAACGCAAAAGCGAAACACCCCAGCCTAAACTCCGCCAAGTGACAAAGAACCTTCGCGTTTTCACGCTCGTGGCCACGTTTAGTTATGGCGCGGAGCGACAAAGTGCAGAAAGCAATAGCGGCGGCGCGGTTTCTCGCGCTTACAGCTCGGTAAATAATATCCCCCGACACGCGGCCGGTCTTTCCAGGCCCCTTTGACGCAGTGCGCGACGCGTATCGCGAAGATGTAAGGGGCACAGGGGGGAGGGGGGAACAAGGTTTGGCAAAGCGAGTGGGCTCTCCAGGGCGCGCGCGTGACTCAAAGGGACGCACCGGCCGAGGTGCCTCTCGACTCGCGCCTCTAAACGTATTCGCGACAGCAATTAACGAATTTCATTAATTCCCGCGACTACCTTTGTTCCCCCCCCCCCCTCTGCTGCACGCAAAGCACGAAAAAATGGCAAAGGAACGTGTCACAAGAGAGAGAGAGAGAGAGAGAGAGAGTTGGGGGTGGCTCTTTTGTGGTTAATTTGCCGCCGGGGTAGGTGCACCTATGGCCCAACGGCAGGCCCATCTACTAGGCTTTGCGAGGAAAGGCATTTTTGGTTGAAAATTCCTTGCAGGGGGTAACCGTTCCGCACCAGCAGTAGCAGTTAACGACTATCGCATATCTGAGTGTGTAGGTTTCCGGAAGATTTTGTACGGGATACAATTGATCCTAAACAAACGATAAAAACCCCGTAGTTTGACAAAAGCTTTGCGACTACTCGTTAAATGATGAGAGTAAACGTCAATTGTATCGTTTCTTAGCCACCCGTTTACCCTTTGAGGGAACCGTTTGCCAATTAACCAGAGTATATGTATCCAATGTTTACGTGAAATAAGCAGTCGTGTATGGATGATAATCATTTGCGAGGCAGAAGTTGGACATTGGCTTGACCTAAAATTAACTTTCTCAGCACGCAATTTTTCTTTAAAAACGTACATGGGCTCTTTCAACGTTGACTTTCAAAAGGACTCGCGTGAAAAAATGCTCGTGGGTGGCAAAACTTTGCGTCAAAAGTAACTTTGAAGTCAACGCGCTCTCGCCAGGATTGTGTACCTCCAATTGTGAACCGCACAAAGAGTATTCCACCCCGTGCGTACTCGCGTAATTGGCATGAATTTCTCGACAAAAGTATCGCGGTCTGTTTATAATTTGTGCCGCGGTCGAGATTCCGGCTCTAAAAATACACCACTCGGCTGTCCAATTATTTATTTTTCTCCCTTTCCCCCAACCCCCTTGACGAGTAGCAGTTTTTTTTTCCTCCGGTGGTGCTTTGATGGGATTGAAAAGTCCTTTCGAGCACGTGCTTACATCCTTCGAGAACCTCTTTTTGGCCGCGGGAAAAAATACCTACTGGATATCGTGGCTCTAACTCGATTGAGGATCCTTTTGCAAAAAAGGACCTTCAATAGTAGATTGTAAACATTTACAAAATAGATTAAATGTTCTCTATACCTTTCGCTGAATCCTTATTTATCCGGCTTGAGAATACGTTAAAGCGTATAAGTATAACATTTCCTGCTAACCTTAATTAGTCTCTTTTGCGTTGAGCTTCAAATTCATGTATAAAATTATTTAATTAAATTGAATGGCCCATCATGGTGCAATATTTGTGAAAACTTTGAGCAATGAAAACCTTCTTTAAACATAGTAACCATTCACTCCATTCATTTAAAAAAAAAAAAAAAAAAGAAAGAAAAAAAAAGAGAGAAGCTACTACCGTGTTTCGAAACAGCACGAAAGGAATCAAGTTGAGCGTTTGACGCAGTGACAGCTTGTTTGCACAGGAGTTTGAATATAATGAAAACAAGGGAGTTGGGGTGAAGTGCGCGCTGAAAAGCGCATAATGGCAGCCCACTGCCACGCACGGCGGATGGCATTTAAAAAACCGGCGCAGTGCTCTTTATTTCCTTCTTTTTTTTTTTTGTTCATCAAAAACGAGGAGGGGGGAGGGAAACGAAAGAGCGTCCCATTCACCGCTTGTCCATCGCGATTACAAAAAGCACAAAGCAACAGCAGCAGCAGAGAACGAGCGCCGCGATCAAAGATAGCCTCATAATGTTGAGCCGGTAAAGGTATTATGTCCGCGGCGATCAAAGCGATGATCTCTCTCTCTCTCTCTCTCTCTCTCTTTCCCTCCACGTATCTCTTTCGTTCTTCCGTCAAAAGATTCTTTATTCTCGCGACGACGAGGCCGCCAGTGCATGCACATATCCACACATTCTTGTGCGCTTCCGATCTGGAATGAATATTCACGTACTCGTGCACGCGAGCGCCTGACCAACCGACTTTATAATCTCTCGGTTACTTCTCCTCCGCTTTCGGCTCAAGTGCGCATGTAGTGTATTTGGCTTGTTTGTTTATTTATTAATTTTATAGTGTCACCGAGCGCAGCAACACGAAAGTCGAGACACTTTTTTTTCCATCGCCGAGTGCAGCTTCAGCTAACTGTGTACATACACGCACGCATACATATTATTTTTCATCCGATCCGAGAGTGAGCGATTGGGAGCGGGTTATCCATCTTGATTCCCTGACAGACGATTTCGTGGCGGCGCGCCTTTGTGGCTTGGCTTTAATTCATGCGCGAACGAACGAGACCGATGACACTCTGTCTCTGCCCCCCCCCCCCTTTCTCTGTCAGACAGATGTAGGCGAAGAAAGTTTTTTGCAAAACAAAAAGAAATATACAGAGCAAGTATATGTAAGAGGTAACCGATAATGAGGCGACATGCACCACGCGTTCGAGAATATGGGGAGAAAAATTTTTGCATCGCGATAACCAGAGCGCCCCTTCTTCTTTCGTCCCTTTCCTCCTTCGTTCCGAGCCATTACCACGTGTCGTTTGGGTGAACAAATTTTTCGAGACATTTATTTTAACGCCCTGGGTGTGCTCCAACAAATTACGTTCTTAAAAATGATGGATGAATAATATTTCGAGAGAGGCCTGTTTGTCGAATCGTTTTTTTTTTTTTTTTTTTGTTTTCTGTACTTTTTCAACTAATTGTTATGCCAAAAACATTTCAACGATGTCAGGAAATCTTGAAAAACAATATTGACGCGATAAAAGATAGTCTTCCTCCCATTGACGTGTAGTTCAAGTCACACAAATCGGTAAGTACTTTTCTCCAATCACTTCCTCAGGCTGTCACACAGCCATCGTTGGACAGCTTCACATTTATGCACCTATCCTGCAAATATACACATACTATTACCAAAAGTTGACACAATCATGTACTACTCTGTCATCACTAAAAAACAAAAGAAAAAATATCAATAAAAGCTAAAAGTTCCAGAACGAAACTCGAGCGCGATCGCGCGTATCAAAGTCTTCAATCAGAACCAAAAGAGCTGTAGGGCGAGACACGTCGTGGCGGTCAACACTTTGAAGTCCCGCGGGGCCCTCAACGAAGAGCATTTTCGAAGCAACAACCTCCTCTCTCTCTGTCAGTTGCGGCTTTTCGATCGAACCTTTTCTCCCCCCCCTCCCCTCCCACCTTCGTACAGTTTTTTATGAGTCCTCCCTACGGTCTCCCTTGTCTTTTGCTCTCCTCTTTTCATTATCTGCCGTTTTTGCTCCTTTTTTTTTCTTGCCTCTTACCCTATCTTTCGCCACTAATTCTACCACAGTTTTTACACACATATGTAACTAGTGTGAGTATTTAGGGGCTCTCTTTACGCAAATGTAAAGGCTCAGGTACGTGTTCACCCCCAAAAGCAGTCATTCAAGTATCCAAGCTTCATATTTTGGTAAGTAAATATCGTAGTGAAAA